AGTGATACGAACGCTTTGATCTCTGCTTAGTGAGAGGGTACATCCCTGATGCTGTGCAACCATTCCTCCCATAGGAACTGGCATCAGAGGGTTGCTCAACCTCTGTTTTATGAGAATTGTATTTACTTCTGCAATGCAGAAGCTTCAGGTTGCAATTAAAAAACTATTAGGAGTAGACAGACAGCTTTATCTCATGGGGAGCTGAGTCCAGGTTTCCAACTGATGTAACTATGTTGTATGCCTCATGCATATACAGAAACTGTTGCATTTAGCAGTCCTGATTGTAAGATACCTTGTGCTAAATTCGTGACACCCTGAAATATGGAGTAGTTAATTTGGATTATTTTTATAGGCTTTAATGTTTCAGTGACAGCCTCTAGATGGGAACTGCAGCAACTTGGCTTTGTAGGCTGAAGAACATGGGGAAGGACGGACGTTTAAAAGAAGCCTTCAAAAGTGTTCCGAGCACAAGTTTGCCCTATAGCATGGCACGTCAGCTTCACCTCGGTGAGAGCCAGGAGAAAGGCTTTATAGGCACTCCCTGAAGGAGGAAAGGGAGTGATGTTGTTGCCATTTCTGAATAGCTGTGGCACCTCCCCACAATAATGGGTGGGAGGATTGTCTCTCTCAGGCTGTGTGCATATACCTTTGTCTGTACGTATATACAACCCTTTATTTTAGCAATTATTTTTAGCTCAGAAAAAAAGGTGCAACAAAATCACAAACATTTGTAAAAGGCATTGTTTGTAAAAGAGTCCAGATTCTTCAGCTGTCACAAAATCTGAATTCCATGCCACAGGTAACAGTTGCTATTATAAGACAAACCATATTACGGAGATAAATGAAAAAAAACCAAAACACTTCAAGATGGACTGAGTCTATCCTGTGAGCAAGCTTGGGACTTGATGTGCATTATAGTATCAGCATCGCTCTCAGCTTTCTGCCTCTAAAATTGCCATGTCCAGAGATGAAAGAAAAAAATACCAGCGTGCACCTTTCATCCTTTTCTGTACGTTACCTGCAGCTCTCACGTAGCTCGCTTCGTGTCAGAGGATCATGCCATCCTTTTTTACCAGTTAGTATTTCCTGTAGCTGCAAGTTTCGGAAGTCACTGAACGGCAGTATGGCAGAGGGAGTTTTCCAAGACTGGATCGAAGCCAACAGACTCAGTGATAGCCCTGTGCATGGCCCTTACACAAAAGGAGGGGGTATGACATAGGTAAGAGGAGCATAGCCTTCCACTGTATAACTAGCAGCACAGTAAATACCCAAAGAAATGGCAGGTGGATGAATTTTCCTTTTCCTTGCAACTGGCTTTACTCTCCTATAACTCTCCTGACTCTTAACACAATTGTGCCTCCGTTATACCAGAGCAGGTGAACGAGAACAGACCCAGTAAAGAGCTAAGAAAAGGGAGCCTGGGTATTGACAGAAATCGTTTTGAGGCAAATACAAGGCGTGCAGGGTAGGAGAAAAGATGCATGTTGTTAAGACAAATGCACAAGGAATTGGGGCTCTCCTATGCTCTCTAGGATGCAAAGTGACCCAGCACTGGACTTGGCATGTGTGCGACTCGTGGCTTTCTGCCCGCTGTGACAGCTCACGCACATCAGTGGCACGTCGGAATCCAGATCGCAGCCAAACTCTCCAGTCCAAGGTTTGACTGGAATTTGTGGCTACAAAGCAAGTTGTATCTCTCATATAAATAAGGTTCACGTATGCCAAGACGGGCAGTTCTTAGCACGAGGCCCGAGCTGCCCATGCCTGAGCTCAGCGGTGGGGATGCGGAGCAGTGGCTGGGATTCTGCAGCCATTACACGACCTGACAATCAAGAACTGTGATCTCCTGTTACACGTGTTCGAAGAATTAACCTTCAAACCTAATTACATTAACATTGCTGTTTCCTACTGTAGCTGTCCCAGGGAAATAAGACTGATTTCTGCATATGCAAATGATTAAGCAGACCGTTCACATTGCTCTTGTGCGTTTTGGGCAACTTGATGTGTTTTAAAAAAATCAAGATAAAACCAGCATTACACCGGCAATTGCCTGAAGAATGAGACTTCCTGGATCACTTGCAGAAGTGTATGGCTCTTCTGTAAAGTGCTGGCTATTGTAGACTAAGATCAATTTCATAATAAGGTCCTGATGCTTTTAATTATCCATTTTGCAGATATTTGAAGTATAATAATATAAATTCTGAAGGAAAAAGCTAATTTCAATGAGAAAACATTTCACAGATGTCAAATCTCCACAAATTTTCATTTCTTTTTATGCATTAAGCCACCACAACTCCCAAAAATACAGTGGCAAATTCTGAAATACGCTATCAGAAAGTCCAAAAAGAGATGAATATGGATGAATATGGAATTTAGAATATGAATACTAGTGCATGATGTATGTATGTGTTGATGGCCACTCTAATTAAGTCCTCAGAAATAAAATGTTTGAAAGGACTGTGATTCTGCTCAATTAGTATTTTCAGTATACCAAATTAATCCTTGGCATAAACCATTTGGCTTCAGGAATCAATTTTGGTCCGTCGTGATAAGGAGGGCAAACACGTGCTCTGACTTTTTAAAACAATGGCTAGGTAGATATGCTTTTTGCTATGCTTCCTAATCTGCAGAAGTACCAAATCTAGAGACTGTGAATAATTGAGTTAATGATGCTGAGGAATCTTACATGTAACAGATATTTTACAATAGCTCTGAAATGTGTCCACTTGATTTATAGAAACATCACCACTTCTGTGTAAGTCCCAGGCTACGTGAGAGGGCATCTTCTCATAATAACGCATTCTGTGCATGCACCATTTGCTAGGATTTCTCTTTGTTTCTATCAGGTGCAGGCTTATTTGTACTGTATCACTTGCCATTTACTGCCTCACCACAGGTCTCCAGGGAGCCCAACATGCCCATTTTGGGCTGCTTGTTTTCAGCAGAGGAAGGACAATGCATGCCAATTAGGCCAATGACCACCTTCCAGCAAATGCAGAAATTTTCAGAAATGTTTAAGCTTAAAGAAGGCAACACAGCCTTCATATGCACAGCACATATCATATGCACAGCCAGGGAGAGTCTTCCTTGAATGTGGGGGCACAGCCTGGGATACAGGCACAGGGCAGCACCACAGGTGACAGAAGTACAGGTCTATCTGAGGAGGCAGGGGAGGGAGAGAGAGAGAGGAGAGAGAGAGAGAGAGAGAGAGGAGCCAGCTGCGAAAGTCTCTCTCCCATGTGTATGTGACTTGGCAGTGTGTAGCTGGGGCTCCATGGGACTAAGCCCATAAAGAAAGATGCACTCCATATCCCAAAGGAACTAGGTCTTCATCCAGCCACAAAACTGCAGGGGCAATTCCCGTGGCTCGGTGGAGCTGAACTGAGTTCATGGGGCTCTGTGCAGAAGAGAGGGCCTCAACACAAGGGATACATAACGAGCGCTACTGAAATTGTTACAAAGAGTAACAAAGCCAGGGAAATCACATTGGGCTTTTTTTCAGAGGCTATTTTTGTCTTGAGAGAGAAGAGGAGATCAAACCTTACTTAATACTTACTTGGAATATGAGTTTCATGATTGGAAAATGCTGTGGAATAGACTAGAAAGTGACTTTCATATAGGATCTTTTTTTTTTCCTTCCAAATAATCCAATAGAATGAAAGAAAGATCTTCTATAAAATCCAGTAACAAGGCTAACAGAATGAATAAGATTTGTTATTACAAGTTGTAGAGCATTAAGAGAAAATAAAACTATATAAATGTTATTTCTTGGTGTTTTGGGTTTTTTTAAGCTTTTCTTTCAGGTAACCACTAGAAAAATCTATCGGGATTTTTGTAGGTTTATTTTTCCATTGGGACTTGCTGCTTGGGATATTGTAAGATGGCATTAATACGACAGTGCAAGTAAAAGAAGAGTTGCATTTAAGTACAACAGTATATTGCTGCATATTGTGTACGTGCTAAATGATGGTCTTGTTTTCTCACAAGCAACAGCAGGATAGCACAAGTGTACGTGAGAGGAATTTTTGTGATTGGGCTTATTTCAATATAAAGAAGAAGAAACTTAATTCAATAAAATAATTTTTTATGCCCATATGTAATTAAAACACAGATTTTGCAAATTTCTTTAAGAAACACTTGGATGTGCATTGAAGTGCAGAGCCTTGCCCTTTTGATGTCAATGTGAATTTTGCCATAGCTTCAATATTGCAGTGTTGATAAGGAAAACGCCATAGCCAACATGCCTGAAGTGCTATATCCAGTCACTCACGACTCCTGTTTATTTCCAGACTAGCTGAGCTGAACAGAGCTTGCACTTCTCAGGTACATCTGTGACTATGGACAGACCGGGTCAGGGTCCAAAAGCTGCCAAAACGTGTTTTGCAGCGGTGTATGTCAAAAAGAGGCAAAGCTAAATTTTATCAGTCGTAGTCTCAAAAAAGAAAGATGGAATAAATCAATCACTTTTGGACTGATAAACATGGGAGCCCTCAGCCTAAAGAGTAATTTTCCAGCAAGTTATTAGCATCAGAAAAAGGGGTTAGGATAAAAGTGCCTCCTCATCCATAACTCTAACCAATACAAAGCTAAAACGCATTAAAAAGAAAACAAGTTATAGGGGTTGGATCAAATAGAAAAGATATTTTCTTCATGGTAATATCACCTCTCCTCTCTCATACATTGCAGAACCTACAGGCTGGGAAAATTACTTTCTCCTCCAAGATATAAGATAGTACAGAAGAACATATACGCAAACCTCACTCACTGCTAGAAATACTTTTTGTGTCATCTGGAAAAGCTGAATTTCTCTTTGAGTGGCCTTACTTTGGTGACAAGAAAAGACAGTTAACATTTATTCATATGTTGTACTGATTAGGAAATATCTCTACAAACACAAGTTACTTAGAAACAGCAAGTCTGAAATAGAAGAAAACACCAAGAGAAAAACAAGCTGTAAATACATTTCAAAAGTGTGTTTTTTTCCTTTTTCTTTTCTTGACTAGCACCATCTGTACACAATAAAGTATGAACATAAATGTTTGGATAATAAAGATTTGCAAGGCACTTAAACAGTTTTTCTGGATAGGTTTTCTTTTAATGAACCTCTCAATGGAAGTCCTACAACCACCTTTCCTCCTCCCTCAGCTAACGCAGGGAAAGAAGTGTCTTCTGCCAGCAGTTCTTATTTACAGACATGTCCTTAAAGGTTCCTCAAAGTGCTCTTTTAGGCTAAGAGAATCAACAACCTTATATCTCCATTTTTCATGCTCGTCCTGTTTTTTTTTTAATACTACTCTTTCATATAGTAAAGCAAATCTCTCATACACACAGTTGAGACTTGACTCCAACCTTCATCCTCATTCTGTTGTCTTTGGGATGCTATTCAGAAGGGAAAAGGAGGATGGCAGAGATGTGCATTGAAATTCTCTTGAGGTTCGTTCTTTATCGGCGTCTAGAGGTGATGTCAAAACAGGTGATCATCATGAGATGGGCCTTGCAGAAGTTGACACGGTTTTCCAAACGCTCAGTCACACATTCCAGGGCCTCCAGGTATTCCAGAGAATCCAGCTCAAATACTTGCTCCAGATCAACTGCGGAAAACACATAGATAGGAAAAGTAGACTAAACCCAGTGCTGGTTGGTGGGAGAGACAGAGATAATTCAAGTCTTTAAAGCCATCAGTACTGTATACAACATTACCTCTGGCTTGCCACTGTCATCAAAAGTTGCCTTTTCTGTTTAATGGCTATTAAAATGGCACAGCGGCTTGCTGATAGTGAGCGACACTGCTAAGATTGCATTGGATGCTTTCTTGAGCAATACGCTTTGCCATCCTCCCCAGAACTGCAGATGCCTTTTGCCACACTCCAACATCTTTCCCCAAGAAAAGCCACCAGAACTATTCTTCCAGCAACCATGTGGCTCACTTCAAAGAAACCAGCTGGCACAAAACACCTGTAGGCTTCAGGTTAACCTTCAGGCCCATAAGGAACACACAGGTTGAATATGATGGGAAAATTCAGCAATAAAGTGTAAAACAGGCCAAGTTAAATCTATTTACAATGATTTTGATTGCTTGCACTCAGGGTCTGCTTCAGCACCACGCTTAAGCAAATTTTGAGTTCTAAGCATATACTTGAAGTCATCCTTATTCAGGACACGTATATGAGATGTACTGACTCTCACGCGCTCTGCTGACTAGAAAGAGATTTAAATAGGTGCTTTGCCTTGGGACGACAAGTCCTTTACTGAATTCCGAACTCAAAGTTATAAACCAACCTCCAACCTCCTCACGCCTCTCCCTATTCCATGTGATTCTCACTACACCGCTCAAGAGCAGCACACGCACCAATCGCTCCACCGTAGGTGCTCACATGTTGCCACAGAGCAGCTGGCAGCAGCGTCCGTGGAAGTCGAGTGTGAGATACATTGTCTGAGCCAGCTCTTGCCATCTTATCTTGTACCTGAGGTCTGTGCCATCCTTAAGGCTTACTGTGTTTATGACGGCAGAATCAGAAGCAAAGGCATCACGTAGTAAGCGGATGGCAAAGCATGGCAAATTCTCTGCTCCCTTTAAATCTGTCCTTGTTACCTCTCTTCCTTAATAGTGTTCCTGAAACATATACTGTGGGTTTTTTTGCAGGATGTATCAATCTGGTGTTAACTTATGGCAGCTGTCAAAGGAAGACTTAGGATGCCTCAAGAGAACACTCTACCCAACCTCCTTTTGTCACCTGCAATTATCCTAAATAAATTGAAACTTGTGTTTTTTTCTAGGACTCTTTGACATGAACTCATCTGTTGCTAATACTAAAAATTATTGTACAAGTCCTGCAGTACTGTTTATATTTTTTCCTTTGAGATGTTGAGGTCCTTCTTCATTTGAATGTGAATGCCCTTCAAGCTCTCCAAACTTTACACATCTATAGTTATAAAAAATGGTCGAAATTCATTTTTCATGTAAACCCGCTGGGTCCAAGGGACAAGTTTGCTCCACGGTGTTATTTTGTGGTAGAAGAGCAGATTTACAATATTGCTCATATGTCTGAGTGATCTGAGGCAAAAAAAAAAAAATAAAAAAATCTCATTTTCAGGAGCTGTGGACTGAAACGCGTGAACGTTAATCTACCAATGGCAATATTCACCACTACAGTGCTGTACCATTTCAGCATTCATCTCTCAGGCAAAAAAAGGATTGTTCAGTTCTACTGTCAACATTTCATCTGAATTATAGGGCCTAGTTCTAGAAATACAGTCGATCTAAAACTTGTCCTTAGGTCATATGTTGGTTCACTTTAGTTTACAAACACAGTAACTCACATCTCATTCTTAGCGAACATTTCTGCTTCCCTCCATCCCACCCCCAATGAAATAAACCAAAGGACATCTAAGAGTCCAAGCAATAAAACAACATCCTTACATTCACTGAGCCATTTATTAGGATCCAGCATCAGGTACTGTTTGGTGACCTCCAGTTCTCTCATTAACCACTCGTACTTGGCCTTGACCTCAGCAATTCTCTGCTGGCGATGCTCCAGGATTTTCAGCTTGGCATTGAAACATATCACTTCCTGACAACCAGCAAAAAGGAGCAGGGAAGAAATAGGTGAAAAGGAGAAGAAATACCCAAATCTACTCAGTCCAGTGATCTTCCAATCAATAATACTGACAATGAGCCATTTACTCTGGAAGCACATGAATCACCGCATGAAATCATCTATCATCTGTTTCATTTTTATTGCTTTTGTTTGGTTTTGATGTTTTCCATCAGCAAGCTTTAGAGACTTTGCAACGATAGTTAACAATAAACCATAATAATTAATAACAGGCAGCATCTTGAAATCAGATTAACTGTAAACATTTCTGGGTTTTGTCACCAGAAGTTTGGCCAAGAAAATCTAAGCTCTTAGGGAAAGGAAATCCATTGCTTGCTGTATTAAAATCCTAAATACATCTCTCTGCTTGGCACATAAAAAATGCAGTAGTCATATTATAAAATAAGAGAACTGGTAGCAACATAAAATTTAAAATATCCTTAAACAAAGGGAATATGCTATGAAAAGCTCTATCAATTCACAATCATTAATAAAGAAGATATATTTTTGGTAAAGATATGAGGCACAGCAACAGTACAGGGTGCAGTGCTGTCTGGAGACACCCAGCCTGGCCTCGCATGACTTCTGAGGGGTGGCGGCCATCAAGACATGCAGTAAGCGAGCCCATGGTGCAGGCTGTGCTACCCTTGCTAGTGTGGGATCGTTCCCAATACAAGAACTATCCTCTTCCAAGCCTGTGAGAAGGTCCCAACCCTATTCTGTCTTCTGCTCTGTAGACAAATCTACTGTGTGGGTGAAGTTGAGTGGAAACCCCACCCCAATAACTGATGGTTTTCTCCATACAAAATCATATCAGAGAACAACATCAAAAACAGCCTAAACAAGTGACCGGGGCTAGGAAGAAAAAGTGCATTAAAATAGTAATAAAGTCTATATCCACAGTTACTCTAAAATTGGTGCTATTCCACCAACTTCAGTCACTCTTCCCAATCATATCTCTGAAGAGCTGACATTTACAATTCCCTGATTTTTTTGTAAATTTGGAGGCCTGAGGTTGGTAGGAACAACTTTGTTAGAGAGAAGACATTACCTATCCTGAAAACAATATCATCAAAGCACTTGAGACACCATTGCTGCCTTGAAAAACAGATGTGATGAGATGCTGGAAAATCACCAAGACTATAAGCAAGACACAAAAATGTAAGGTACCAAGGTCTGTTACCTGCTACAGAAGAAGGCATAACTGCTTTTAAATAAGGTAATAGGTTTTGCTGCCTGTTGAATCAACCATATACGATACTACACATTTCTGAGTGCATAATCTGAATTCCCCCTCTTATACCCTCCAGGAGGACAGAGACATTACATGGATTGTACTCACCTTGCTGTCGCCACCTCGTCGCCGCTGGAGCCTCTCAACATCATCTATCTCATAGACCTTGATCTCAAAGGGCTCTCCCAGCCCCCTCTGCCCACTTCGCAGGGGCCCATCCACCCAACGGACCCCGGGGCTGTTGGCAGTCTTCCTTGCTGGGGAAGTGGTATCAAGCGATAAAGCTGGAATAAGCCTCCGTCTCTGTGAACCTGCAAACGTAGAAATTGCCATTTCATGTTAGCACAGTTATCGCCTCTCCTTTCTGCTCCATAGAATCATAGAATGGTTTCATGATCTGCAGAGATGTCTACAAACTATATATTCATAGATTCATAGATTTCTAGGTTGGAAAAGACCTTAGAGATCATCGAGTCCAACCATCCCTAATCCCCATTAAACCATATCGCTAAGTAGATCATCCACCCTATTCTTAAACACATCCAGGGATGGGGACTCAACCACCTCCCTGGGCAGCCTATTCCAGTGGCTGACAACCCTTTCAGAGAAGAAATACTTCCTAACATCCAACCTGAATCTCCCCTGACTAAGCTTATACCCGTTTCCTCTTGTTCTATCACCCAACACTAATGTAAAGAGCCCTTCTCCTACCTCCCCACCATCTGAATAAGGCTGAATATATATTCAGGCTTATACAGAGCAAAAACCCAGGGAGGCCACAGAAGTTGGGGTGAGCTGTAGCTGCAATGTGCTGTACCCACTCACCATGAGTCAGATTCTCACACTTCTTTGGTGCCTGACTCCAGGATTTGATCCTCAGAGGGCATATGCACCCTCAAGTTTCCAGAGCTTGTGCCTACTTCCTTTTGCTGAGGTCTCAGTGTGTACATGTATGCCAAGGAAGAGCCAAAGCAGCAGGCTGGAACTGGTCTACCTTTGCTTTCCTACCTCTTTACAGGTGCTGGCTCTTACAGCCTAAGAACAAGCATTAGCCAGCCTCTGCAAAGACCATGTCCAGGCGAGGTGTGGTTTTGGGTTTTTTTAAACCACAGCATAAAAAGCACATTGATACCCAAGCTCTTTTACTATGCTGGAGTTGAGTGCCAGTATACCACCACTTAGTCCTTTGCATAACACCACTGTAGGCTGGCTAGAGCAGCAAAAACACTAGAGAGGACAAAACGCCTGCAGCAAGTACACTCGAGCTTGGTGGTTGCCACCAGAGTTGCATTAGCCTTGTCTGTTCAGGAGAATATTCTTCTAAAACGTTTTCCACTCATGCACTTACTGCAGCACTGGTGATGGGCAAGAAAGCAGCGAGAACAATGGGCTGGCAGAAGGGTTAGTCAGTGTGTTTACTTCAATACCAGTGCTCACGCACCCTCGCCCCACCTTGTAATACCAGCACAGTGGATGGCAGCACTGCAGTAGCTAAAATGTACCATGGCTGAGAAAGCCTATGCCATGTGGAAAGCATCTGCCATGTGAGTTGCCAAGTCAGGGCCTAAGGTAAGGCAAGGAAGAAAAAGTACGTCACTGATCTGATGGCGGTGGTAAGGAAGTGGAGTATATGGTTTGCTGGGAGAAAGAACAGACACACACAAAAAAAAGAAAAAGCAACTGGTTAGATTTCCTTGCTTGGTTTAGTATAATCAGAGCAATGGCTGGGTTTAAAAAAAAAAAATGTTTCGTAGCTGACAACT